AAACTCCAAGTTCACTGAAGCACTGCGACAAATAAAGTCAAATAAGATGAAGTTATTTAACTGCTGGGAATATAAGATTTGAACTTTACTTCAAATGCAAAAAATAAGTATATTACTCTATTTTATGTCTCCCACACCACTTCCAAAAAGCGAGCTCCCTTTCTGGACTGAAGTCACTAATAATCGGAATTGGATTGTGATCTACTCTTTCTTTAGATATCTTCTTGCCCTTTCCACATCTTTTGTCTATGTGCAGACTCTGTATGGCAGTCGTTAGTTTCCTCACTCTAGCCGGATGACCTGTACCCAGTACTGTTGCATTCTCTGGACCCTCCGGCAACTGGACGTCTTCCTGTGCTTCCTCCTCTGCATTGCCGTCCAACACATTGTCGCTTAATTCTGCTGCCATGCCCGTGCCTTCACAATCCTGTCCATTACTCATCAGTTGCCGCCCTAAGTTCTCTAACAAGCTTCCCTTGCTAGTGACCGGCCAACAGTTGTTCATAGTGTGCAGACAAACTGTCAAACTGACTATCAATTACTTTCTAATAATTTAGTAAATCATAAAAAATAAAATTAAAAAATTGGACAGCTTAGCACAGCATCTGTGGTTAATTATTTTCAGGAGAGATTGAATTCTTAAATAATTCAAAAAGTAATTGCTCTTTTTTAATTTAATGTGTTTCGTTATAAGAAAGAAAATCTAAAGATGTACAAATAGATCCTAAAGTCTCTGTAAAGCTAAAATTAAATAAACTGCATTTCCATATCAAGAAGTAGGGAATCCTGGTCCTAAAAACTAAGATCTCCACAAATAGAACATCAATTGATATATATAAAAAAAAAAATTATACTAAATTATAAATAAAGATTAGCACTTCATAATGGTTGTTATTGCTTCATACCTTTTCAATCAAAGAAGAAGAAGCCATCTTTTCTGAATTGCCAACCACAAGATGAGTATGAAAAAACTTTCCCACTTATATAATGAATCATAATTAGCTTGAGTAATTGTTATTATTGTAATTCATTTGCTTTGTCAGATCATAGCAATTAGTAAATGGAAATTAACTAATATTATGGTCAGCTAATTGAAGGTCTAAGGAAAGGTGGGAGGAATAGACTTTCGAATTCTTTCGAAGGGCCAATAGGGTTGAAGCTCAATGATAGGATTTTTTTTATGTGAATTTACTATTCTTTTAAACAAATCAATTCATTATTAATTGAAGTCGCCAACGCCAGATGACGCAATAATGATCGGGTTATAATCTACCCACATCGAGGCTGATGGGGGAGAGATAACAAATAAAGCAAGATGGTGGACAACTTTATTCACCTCGTGAGAGAAAATTGGCAAGATCAGTATCATACTTCATTAAAGAGAGCTAGATTATCTAAAAGAATCAGTACTGTATTTGGCACAAGATTATGGACACAATTCACATTATTGACAATTTTCCATGCATCCCACTCGACGTCGTCAGTATTAAAAGCTTTTTCTTCATCAAAAAGAAGGCCCGCACGGAGGTTGGATACTGTGTCCTTTCTTGTGAAGCCTTTCGTTAACCTTTTATATTTCATTTTGTTAGATTAATATCGATTGAGATATACTGTCTCTCATTAATGAAGCTGTCAAACTATGATAAAATCAGCAAACAAAGCAAAAAAGAGGGCTCATTAGTGAATCTATTCATTAAATCAGTGCTCGGTATTCATGTAGAACCAATGAGATTTAATTTGACTTCGTTATCTATATTCAGATGAAATCACCGAGCAATTATTGAGTGTGTTTGATGCACATTTTTTAGGAGAGAATGTATTTTTTTTTTTTTTTTGTGATGTGATGGTGAATATATGGTTGAAAAAGAAAGAAAAATTATTAGAATTTGGGTGTGACCCGAATTTTTCGTTGAAATAATTGAAGAATTCTAATTGAAGTGCACGTCAAGAAGAATTCAGTTTGGAATGCTATTGGATTCCTATGTCAAGTTGAAGTTCTATTTTGGAAATCCATTGGGAGTTGGAAATTGGCATTAAACTTGAAGAAGAGTTCGGGGATGGAGAAAACAACTCGTAACAAAAAAAAAAAAAAATTAAGCAGAAAGCTCGGCGACGCGGCACCACCTCTACCTATTCCAGTTTTTCCCTTTTTTCTCTCCTTTTTCGTTTTAGACTCGATTTTTTGGCATCCTACTTCATCAACAACTCTACTATGAGGGTTTGGATGTCCCCTACATATTACATATAAATATTAGGGTCTTCTATACAATTTTGTGAGGTGGGAAAAGAGATTACTAGAACTTTAGGATCAATTGTATATTTCTCCACTATTATTTACGTAATAAAATCTCCTAATTCCTCTACCATATTTTCTTGTTTTCTTTTATTCTTTTACTAGTGATCAAATACTTCATTATTGTGCCATATAACTTCAACATCTCAATCCGATGGTTGGTTTCATATCAAGTGGTATCGAACGATACTTGATCCTTGAATTCTCAGCAATTGGTATTAGAGATTCTGAGCATAATTAATGCAACATTCATCAAATTTAAAAATGCTTAAACAACCTCCCTCATTTGGGAAACAATATAGCCTACTTAACTCAAATGATTACTTTTTCATCCTTTGGTCACGTAATTCAGAATAAAGAGGCTAAGAGCGTTAAAAATATTAAGCATTAAATTTTTTTGCACAAGTTATTAAACAAAAAAATTATATATCTTTTGAAGAAATTAATTTCTTACTAGCTGTTTTCTCTTTTAGGCCTTGCCCGAAAAAAAAAAGTAAAGTAAAAGAAAATAATAAAGCAAAAGCAAGTAATGAAGAACTAACTTTTATTTGAAGAATTCTTGCTATACAATTATACCATGTATAATTGATATAAGTGATATACCATGTATTGTGTTTTTTCGTCGTCCTCTGAATGCATATATTGGTATTTATAAGGAAGTAGATATTAGTACATCACATCTATTTCTTACAAGCGTTCCTTGAAAAAGGTGAAAAAAATGTATTACTTTACAGATGGTTTAAAATTAAAAAGTACTACCAACTTTGAAAAAAAATTACACGTTTTTCTTTTCCATCCTTCTTCGTTGATTGCCTTTAATAATTGTCCTTTGCCATAGTCCTTGATCATTGTATACTGTCATTGTATTACTATACATTGTCTTGGAATTTCTGCATCATTGTTGATTGTTACTGTATCATCTCGATGTATGCTTTTTCAAGATGAATATCCATTTCATTATGATTATTTCCATATGATAATAGATATCTATTATTCTTTTGTATTTGACTGATTTTCTGATGGTTCACCATCTGTGTTTTGAGAAGTTATTAAATATAATTGTTTCTGTTGAATATTTATATTTGGCACTAAAATTATTATTCTCGTCTTGATTTTGTAGCAAGGAATTCTTGGCAGAAAAAGCGAAGTAATAAGGTAACACGGTATTGTCTGTAGTTAATATTTTGTATTTCTATTGTTGCAGTAGTTTCTGAGATTCTTCTTTCATAATCAATCTGTCAGATTTTTATGTTTACATCCGTCTTTGGTGAGGGTTTGAATCTTTTAGCTCCTCAACAAATCGAAAAAGAAAAAAAGGAGAGAAGTAATCAGTTGTTCTTGATTTTGTTTATTTTTTATTTTAATTTGTATTACAAAGTTTATCGGGTCGATTGTATCCTTTCTCTATCTAGTGAAATATTTATTCATGACAAGGGGTCGTAGGTGTTTTCCTTATAGGTTTACGCGTTACATCAAGTATTCCGTATTTGAGTTAATCTTTTTACTACGGTATACTATTTTCGTATCAGTTAATCACGAAATTATATAGGTCGCGAACTAGTTATAACATGCTAGTGAATTATCAGTGTATACGTGAGATGCAGAACTAATAAGTTTGAACCAGACTTATCAGCGAACTCGTAGAATAGTGAGTTCACGTGCAGAGTGAATTGTACATCTTAGTGAGTTCACTTGCATAGAGAACTGGACAAAGTTTCAAAATTTCCAGAGTACTTGACTTTGAGATTATTGAAAAAAGATATAACGCATTTTACCAACTAACACCTAGAGGGTGGAAAATAGGTGTATAATGCGGAATTAAGATTTATCAATTATTATTAGCAACAAGTCACTATTAATAATCAATATAGATGAATTCACATGCAATCACTATCATACGTTTCCACAGTTTGTATAATTACATAAAAGCAAATAACATCACAAAATTGATGATGGAGCAAACCCCTCGCTGGATTAAAAAAAACTCCAAGATCAATCCAGGAAAATTCTATAGACAAAGACTTACTGTACCTTCGAGACTAGACAACCTCTTAGACTCACTGACCTACATCATGTAATCTCCAAGGCACTATTGGACTGCGTGTTCCCCACACCAGCTCCCCCGACCTTTTGGAATTGTATATCTCATGTGGATCACAAAAAACTCCTCGTTCTTGTCCTCTTCCTGGGCTCCTTGACTCCTTCCCGAACCATTAGCACTCTCTAATAGATATTTAGGAAGTGGATGTTTTGATAAGGTGGATTCATGTTTTTTTCCCAGGTATGCCTGATCATATTATTCTACCTAGAGATCAAACTTTGGAAATCCTATAATAGAGAAGTCCAAGAAAATATTGAACGTCTTGAACGAAAAAATCATGTCACGAAAATAAGAGGACGGCTCCTAGGTTTTTATAGTACAAGTTCTGGGCATTATTTCGTTCCTTCAATTGGGATTAAAAATATTTTAAAAATAGCAAAAAGACAAGCATTATTCCGCAAATACTATATCATGATGTCTAAATCTCCATCAGTTCTTGAAAATGTCATTATTAGATCAATGAGCACAGGGGAGATAAAATTCAATTCCATTCAACAAATCTGTCATTAGTGAGAATTTACATAAATAAAGTAAAAAGGGGCCATTTCAGGAAGCACAAAATCTCGTCTTCGGCTTCCATTCCGCTTCTCTTGAGATATCTCATCTTCAGTGATCATTGGCTTTGAAGGCAGGTAAAAAGGAGTTAAACTCTTGCAACAGATTTGGCTCACCACTGAAAAGAATGCCAATCTGCAATGAGTTGAGCAGCAAGCTAAGATCGAGGAAGCAATATAAAAATTGTAACTATCCAATAAAATTTACCCGCATTTCAACACATTTTGATCGTTAAGAGAATGAAAACCATATAATCGTCACTATATACAACGATAGTACAAATGAACAAAAAGTTGCTACGCATATGGAAGAATGAGGGAATAGTACTGCACCTACTGATTTACTTATTTTTTAACTTCAAAGTTCAAGGAAAAAGTTCCCAGAAACCACTATCCAGTGTGAAAGCCGCTACTAAGTGTATAATTGTGCACTTGTGGTTGTCTTGTGAGGTGTATTAGACAGCAATAGAAACTAAAAGTTAAACACTCGTCTTTTGTACTTTTTAATACAATTTAACACTATGCACCAAATGCACTGGATGTGCAAGTGCCAAACCTAGTTGTCATTCGTGGATTAAGTTATAGCCAGGAATCCATGGACAATATCTGAATATGGAGTTAATTAGTACTTTGCTGTTATTTAGATCTATAAAGTTCATGCACTATGAAAATTCAAATGATTTAACGATACCTCTGAGCATAAATCCTCAATACTATTTCTCGTATCTCCATGTTCACGGAGAAGCTTCAAGAAGTAAGCATAATCTTCAGCATTCAACTGTTCCTGCAATTTGCAAAATTGTATATATTGAAATACCGAAGTACAACCCACCACCTAGAGGGGGTGAATAAATGAATAATGCAGAATCACAAATAATAATTAATCTAGACGAATTCACATGCAAGTCTATCATACGTTGAATTGCCACAGTTTATAATTTGCGTAAAGTAAATAACACAAAAAATTGATCATGGAGAAAAACCATTCGTAAAGGATCAAAAAACTCCGAGCCCAGGGAAATAAAATCTACTATAGACAAATTGATTTACAATACGATCCAAACTCAACTTACTCCTAGTACTCTCTTACTTCTTGTAATCACCAAGGTCTTCCTGGATTGCATGCTCCAGCACCAGCTCGACTTTATGGAATCGTCTATCTCCTAGGATCACCAAGAACTTGCCGTTCTTGTCCTACTGGAACTTCTATTTCATTCCTCGATCTTATGAACTTCTCCGACAGATTATACGGAAGTGGATGGTTTGGTGTTTTGAGAATTTGGATTGATGTTTTCCAAAGTGTGGTTGATTGATCTCAATGTTATGAATTGATGTAGGATCTCCAAAATATGTTTTCAAGGAAGAATATAATGATCAACCACCAGTATGGACGGAATAAAACTTGGGAATATACAGTAGGTATTTGGGGTTGTTTAGGACTCGAAAATCTGTTTAAATCACGAAACAAAAATTTTTCAGATAACACCACCACTCGAACGCTAGGCTCACGCCAAACAAGCGGTGACTCTGCCGCTCAAGCGATGAGCTAACGCTAGGCGAGCAGCAGGTTCTCTTAATTTCTCCAAGGTGGCGCTCGAGCGCTAAAGTGGCGGCCAGCTAGCATTATTCCCTCTACTTTTTCTCCTTATTCCATACTGAACTCAAAGACTCCTAATTGACCGATACAACCTTCCAAATAACTCTTTGACTTTTATAACTTTAATTTTGTCTAAAACAAATAGCCAATTCCGAAAAATTAAATATCCGAAGTATTTACTTAGCTAATACCACTTGTTGAAAATTATAGTTGTTTAGACTCAAATGCAAAATTAAATAATTAAAAATAAACAAGTCACTTATTAATTGGTTTCTAAATGATTAAGTTAATTAATTCAATTTAGCCTATGTCAATCAATTTTAATCAATCAAATCAAAACAGTAAAGTAAATAATGAACACCAAAATTGATGACGGGGAAAAATCCCTTAACTTGATAATAAATAAATAATAAAAAATATTTCCGGGCAAACTTGCTAGTAATCAATCCACTAAAAAAGTTAACTTAAAATTAGTCCACAAACTGCTAAACTTTAGCTAACACTGACCACCTAACTTGTAAATCACTGAAAAACTCCGTCGGTTATGCAAGGCAGCACTTCCCAGAACTCTAGACCACTTTTTTCTCCCTTGGATCACTAAGAACCAACTCCTTTCGTTCCAGAGAACTAGAACTCCAAGCGCATTTTCTCAAACTTCAGACCTCTGAATTGGAGAATGTAGGGTTTTATGTTTTGGTGTTTGACTATTAGATATTTTATGTTTTAATTTGTGTTAGAATTATGGCTCAACTTATCAAAGTTTTTTTGGGATGAATTATAAATAAGTACTTGAGGGGTTGAATCAAGAGAACTTTGGAATCTGTTTTGGATATTCAAATAATGTTCTCTATAATGAAAATAATGACCCAAAACATCTTTGGGAAGATCTAAGTTTGGGTATTTATAATATGAAGTGTTTGAGGGTGAAATGGATGGGAAAACAAGCTATTTAATCGAAACACGATTTACCCGAATATATACGATGCTCGAGCATCAGGCCAGCGTTCTGCTAACGCTAGACTATCATTAGGGTTCTACTTCAATTTGCATTGCATGGCTCGAGTGGGAGAGTTAGAGGTTAGCTAGCACTTGTAGGTCTATTTCTTGATCTTCTTGAATTATTTTCAACTCCTTTAGGACTCTATCAAACCCAACTCTTTCGACTCTAATTACAACTCAAATAACCTATATTTTAGAGGCTCTTTTGACTTCTATTACAACTCAAATAATTAGATTTTGGATACTGATAAAGTCAATCACAAATACAATTCCAATTGAACCTGACATATATAAATCTTAAAAGCTTTTCAATTTCAGGAATATTTAGTTTTGTAGCTTTTTGAGTTACCTTGACATTATTAATGAATTTATGCGCGTCTTCTAAATGGGGTTCCATTTCCCTTACAAATGCATCATCCTCGAGTGGATCAGAAATCTCATATCCTCGGGGCAAGAACAAATTGAAGCCTGCAATAAGTTCCCTTTGCCCTTTTAAGAAGTGTCTGGCCAGTGAGATAACTTGCTTAGCATTAATTCTGCACAAAATTAGAAAACCATTAAATTCCATTTGAATGCTAGTTAAACTCATCCCATAATATAGAGAAATTTGTATCTTCCCCTACTTCACTAGATGATGATGATAACAACACATAATCATCATGAACAGCAAAAATTAGGATTCAATAAATTTCTGAGACTTCCTTGACATCACAATCACCCTGCAAAATATAGAATTTATTTAAATATATCTATCTTCCTTTCAAATTCAAAGCATGCTGCAAACTTCTTCAAGCAAAATATAGAATTTATTTAAATTTTCTTTCTTGGTATCCCTTGTTGGCCATCCAATCAGCAACAAGTTCCCCTCCCTCCATATATAGTTAAGTCGAATGTTCGTATCTCTTTTAATTTGTTTATTCTCTTCAAGATAGTATTGAACCTCCCAAGGCCCTTTTCCTTCTTAGTCTATTAGTGAAACTGAAACCTTAGAATATGTCTCAAACCTCGCATTCTTGTATCCTTTCTGTTTACATAAGCTCAGACCCATTACGAGTTCTCTCAATTCAGCTTCCAGTAGGCAGAGACATTCACGGATCCAACTGGGTTAGGCCGAGAATTTGTGTCGAAAATTGAGCTCTAAGAAGAAGTTATAGGAGACGAAAGGAGCTCTATGTTACAACAGTTAAAAGGTACTCTCTTCCAAAAAGAAGAGAGGCATCTTCACATAGTTAGCAGCAAGTAGTCAAGCCGAGGTTTGGGGACCGCAGCCCCCCATGTAAGGAGTAACCATGTTCTCATGGTCATGGCTGTGCCTACATTCACCATAATATTCATAGAACCCAAACTCTAGGGTTCCAAAGTGATTCCTCACTATACCCCCCACCTGCTGCCATATTTGACCTTTTCAAGCACCCATCAGCATTCAGTTCTACAACAGCATCTTGGGGTTTTATCCATTTTACTATTTCAGACTCTGGAGATTCAACCTCTTTTGATAACTCTAAAGGAGTTCTTTGATATCTTGATGTTTACAAGAATTTCTCTAAACCCACATATAAGAGAAAATACCATAAGGGGAATGACAGTTATAAAACAACCTTGCCCTTGCGCTCCTTTAGAAAATCTCCACTGCTGGAATAACAGTTTCTATAAGGCGATTTAATCACAGGCTGGTTTCACCCATCTCACTCTCTTCTCTGAGATAGTATAGCATTAAAATCCCCTTCAATCAACCAAGGTCCCTCAATAGATTCAGCAGTGGCCCTTAATCCTTACCAAAAGTTTTCTTCTCAATTGAATAGCAGAAATAGTAACTTCAAACCCTATTTAATAAAGCAACCTCCAAGTCCTCTTTCAGAAAATTCTATTTACATTAAAATTTTATTCTCTACAGTCTAATCACTATCCACTATAGGCTCAAAAATGATTAAAAGGGGTCTCGGCGGTGCCTAAAAACCCTATTTGTCGAACACATCAATCATCAAAAAAGGGAATGGGAGGAATCACAATTCTAGCACGAACGCATTTTTAATTCATCCACAAAAACGAAATTGGAAAAATGGAGATAGAATTAAACCTCTTTTCCTTGTAGTCTTTAAGCATATTAATAAATCCATAGCTTTTATCCCCAAGTACAGTTTTTACTGAACTTATAAATGCAATTGCTTCCTTCATCGTTAAACGCGGTTTGATCTCCACATCATCTTTAGATGATAAACTTTTATTTCTGCAAGGAAAATTTAAAAAAAAAAAAAAAGACAAGAAAAAAGAGAGAAAAAATTTGACGTGAATGATTTATAAAAATTGCTGCATATAATCTGAATAAAAAAAAGATAAAATTCAGGAATTTAGAGAACTAACGAGTTGTCCATTGATATTGATCGCGGACAAAAAACAGAATTCAGGAATTCAAGAAATCTTGCGTAATAAATACTTTTTAAGTATGATGACATCATTTTAATTCATCTTTAGACTTCAATCAGAGTTTAAATTGGACTCTATCAGTGCAAACCATGTCAGAGCCTATCACGTTGTTTTAGATACTTTTAATAAAGTTTACTTGTAGTTCAAGTATATTCAAACCACAATACTTAATTATAAATTGTCTTCAGCAATTATATAAAAAAATTCAATAGATATATTCATTTATGTATATATCGTATCTCACGTTCCTTTTTCATGTACAATTCGGCTTTCAAATAGACATTTTTTTTCCTTTTTACACAAATTGTCGGACTTTTAAGATTTTTCGTTTACGTATCATATCTCATATAAATTACCAGACTTTAAGATTTTTCAATTATTAGTAACTTTCTGCTACTCATCAAGTTCGAGTTTATTACTCATTAAGCAAAATTTCTACAAGTTAGGGAGAGAGTAAATCGTTATTTTCCACTTCTAGTTGATCTAAAGTAAAGGTAACATTATTGAGTTGCACATATCCAGAAGAAAGCCCGGAGGAAGACCTAGAGTCAATCCCAAAAAGGAATCACGAAGAAAACCTAGCTGAGAGCACTCGAAGAAACTAATAAATGATAGGTTTATTTATGCTATATTACGATTTGTGTTTTTTAGTGTAGAATTTCTATTTGAAGGATGCTTGGTTTGCCTTGTAATCCTCTTGTTATGCAAGTTATTGAAAAATTATGAAATAACATATGTTGTTTCCTTTTCTCATTCTTAGCTAGTTGAGTATTTGAATTCTTGAATGTTGTTTTACTTAAAACGATAGAAATTCATGATAAAAGTGCTAATAATAGAAATGAAGAATCCCAACCCAACGCCATCGACACCCTATTTACCCAGCAGTTCTTCAACGTGATGCGCAACTTTGGCTAAGCAGTAAGCCAGCCGCAATAAGTGGAGGATAGGAGGAACCCTATTTCTGCGATTGTTGAGCAATTCAGGAAGCTACACCCTACAACTTTCGAGGGTGGCACAGCTCACTTTATATTAGAGGACTTGTTGACCTTCACTCGGAGAGGGTTTTCGAGTTTATCTATTGCTTAGAGTTTATATGCCAAACATGCCATCAATGTTTTGCTAAGCAAATAATAAGCTGGCTTATCAGTTAAAATCCCAAATAGTTAAGCAGTCTTGATTTATAAATGATTTCTCAAAAAAATAAGTTCATATTTTTTTCAATATAAGATCAAAAAATTAAAAAGAAAATAATAAAATTTATTTCAAATAGTTAAAAAGAAAAACTGGACAATAGTAGGGGTGTAAGCGGTCCGATTTTTGCGATTTTTGACAAATTTTCAAACCGAACTGTTTTAACCGGTTTGAGAAAAACTCAAACCTAAACCAAACCGTTTTGACCGGTTTGAAAAAAACTCAAACCTAAACCTAACGGTTTGGTCCGGTTTTAAACCGCCGGTTTCGCGTATATTTTTTTCCTGTCTAGTATCTACTTTTATGCCATTAATTCAATATATATTTATATTTTACTAGAAATAAATCTAAAACAAACTAAATATATTTACTATAAATTTAAATAACAATAAAATAAAAGTAAAATCACAATAAACTAAAGCATAGTTTTTTATTCACCCTTTTGACGTTTTAGGATAATACTTTATAAGTCCACTAAAATAAATATAAAATCCAAAAAAAC